ATGGATCTTTGGTACTCTTAAGGTCAACAGTTTTCCTTAACTGCGTAACATAGTACTTTGCCACTTAAATGATGCTACATGTTAGACTTTATTTGTTCTTAAAAATAGACTTGTACATCGATGTTATAGCATCCACTTTTGATTGAGCTAGTTCAACACTGCTGTCACATATTTTAGTATCGTCTTTCCAGTTTCAGCCGTAACGTGTTGTTTTCTTCGTAGTTTTTGCCGGTGCAGCCTTACGATTTTGAATGGGTTAGAATCGTCTTCCATCTTAAAAGAATCTTTATATTTCAGGCCAAAAAAGCTTGTTGAAAATTGTAAACACGTATTTTGAAAATGGGACTAAATTATAGTTTAATTAACTTGAATAATAGTGAAATCTATGAAGTTCTCTTTCTTCGTCTGAAATATTGTGTAGGGCTTCAGTCGGTTTACTTTGCTTAGCGACCTTTCTATGTAGCTATGTATAGCATCTACTTCTTAAATGCAAGAGTGCCCCGGAACTGAAAATTTCATTGTAATTTGTTGTAAGTTTTTGTGGGTTTGAATTAGTGCATAACACTCTTTTGTGGTACGCAGTTATCACTCCACAAAATTATTTCGGTAAATTCGGGACGGTCTTCTAATACCCTATATAATATTTTATAAACTGCGCTGGACATGTCATTTTCAGTTCTGCCATGTAAGGCATCAGTCCACATTGCATAATAAACTTGTTTTGTAATAGACAGATGAGCAGTCATATGTAAACGTTTAATTTACGTTTATAAGAAAAGTTTTTTATATCTGCCTTTGGACATGTCAGCAGATTTTCAAGATCAAAACATAATAGAGGCTTTCCACTTTCCTTATCTTTTTTCTCTCATATATTCATGTTCTTTTAAATGATTCATGTAGGCTCCATTCCCTCCTCTTCCATTCTATGTTCTTCTTTCTTTACTTTAATTTCTTCTCGAGTATCACATCTGTCTTTATGTGGTTTGGGAAAAGCTATGTTAAAACAATCACAAAATATTTTCTGTACATGCAAAAGGACACAGGAGATTTTTATTTATCATTTGCATATTCCAAATACATTTCATATAACTTCTATATATTTAATCCACTTACCAAGCTAACGACAAAATATTATAAAAAGGTTGTATGTTGTAAAATAGAAACGGTGTTATATTTGTTTGAGTTTTAATTTATCTATTACGATATTCTATGTTTAACATACCAGGTTAGTTCAAAAAGTATCGCAAATTTTGAATTATCGCGGGCCACTTATTTTAGATTTTCGACCTTTTTGTTGGTAGTCATGACCCTCACTAATGTTGACAATATCGGCCCTTTTGAATGTTCAGTCAGTTTTTAACAGGAATTGTGCGTGGACATGTTTTAGCTTGTCTCCGATTTTTGTCTATTCCAAAAATGGATCAAAGAATTTGTATTAAATATTGTGTAAAAAACAACTGGAAGTGCGCGGACATATTCCAAATGTCGACTGTTGCATACTGCGAAGTAATGTTTACCGGTTGTACAAAATGTTCTCAGAGGGCCGAGAAGATGTGAGCGACGAAAAGCGTTCCGGATGCCCGAGCACGTCAACGACAGATGAAAACATTGATGAGTTCTTACCGCAGGGTAGAACCGTCAATAAGGAATATTACCTTCTAATAATGCGCAATTTGCGAGAAGCAATCTGGCAGAGACGCCCGGATTTGTGGAAGAACAAAAATTGGCTTATGCACCATGATAACGCCCCTGCTCATGCATCGTTACTTGTGCGTGACTTTTTGGCCAACAACAAACACTCCACTGTGTGTGTTCTGCAGACCTGGCCCCCTGTGACTTTTTTGTTCCCGAAACCGATGAGGTCCATGACAGGACGGCATCGAACTAGGAGCTGAACAAGATCACAAAAATGATTTTTCAAAATGCTTCGAGGATTAGAAAAAACGTTCTCACAAGTGTATAATGTCTGATGGGGATTACTTTGAAGAGGAAAAAATAGATATTCATGAATAAATAAATAATTCTTGAAAAAACATGAAATTCGCGATACTTTTTGAACAAACCTCGTACACCTTTGGAATACACAAAAGATATACTTTCCAGCATGCACCCTTAATTTTCTGTTGATTACTAAGGTTCTAAGTTAGCTAGAGGCTTCATTCCAAGTTTAAAATATAGTAATTTTCCCATAGAACTTCGTAACACCGAAAAACAGAAATAGTTAAAAATGTCACATACAACCTTGTAATATTAGGATGACGTATGGTCGAAATATGCATGCCCACATCAGATCCATAAGAATAATGGAGAAGGTATACTGGATAAAAATATGTCTGCCAGGTGTCTCAGTACGGTTACAATCAATTGATATATTCTTTTGGCACTGGGACAAAGGTCCCATTAGCTAGGTTCAATCTTGTATATAAATATGTAAATTTCTGATTATTGACAAACACACGACGCCACAACATCCATGACTTCAGAGTGTTAATTCCGAACGCGAGATTCGAACTCTCGGCCCGGCTGATTAGTAGCACGACACTCTGACCCAATCGAGGTCCCCTAAACAATTGATAGTCTGGTGAACTGTCGTATATTCGCTGAATTGGCGCTTCCGTGAATTCATCCAATATTATTCTATAAATAAACGCATATTCATATTAATAATTTATTTTAATATGAAAGGGCATGAATAGTGAAATATTTGGTTATTAGGTAAAACAATGAGGTATTCGAATTACTATATGCGTTCCGCAACATTAATCGAGATAATAGAACTGAAAATGCACAGTAACGAAACTATAATAACCACAGTATTTTAGAATGGCAATGCAAAATTTGAAAGGTGTATACAAGTTTACTCATTTGAACAAGATGTAAGTATCTTTTCATCCAGCGAATTCCAAAGTTTGGAAACTGAAGCGTTTGAATTGGATGAACATCATGAACGTACATAATTTTTCATAGCAATGTGCCCCGAAACATGTCTACCGGGAGTCAACAATTTTCAGTATCTATGGTACAAGATGACTTCGTCCTGTATGGATAAAAATGACAATCAGTTTTTTCACAAAAGGTATGCGTCGGAACATGTCAGGCTTTTGCAGCGACCCTCTATCTTCCAAAGTGACAATAGCAAGCTCTCTGACGGTTCTGGTAGCAGATGGCACTTTGTTGAATATGACGCACTTTATACTCTGTTCTGTTTCTTCGGCAGATAACATTTGATTTCATACAGGATATCAATAGAATGGCAGTGTACCTTTCATGTTAAACAGTTTGCTTCAAATGATAAATATTACTTCCTTCAGACCTTAAGGTTCATTAAAGAAGTGGGGTTACATTTTCAGGGTACGGTATGAAAAACCTACGTCATGTTTGAATTTTTTGTTACGTCTTTCGCGCTGAAATCTTACGTATGAGGATGAAAACATTGAAATGATAATTTTATAAACTACGAAAGACGAAAATGCATAATATAGGCGCTGCTGATAGTAGCTACCCGTGTGTGTGATCAAACAAGATACCTTTCTAAGGCCCATGGTAGACAGTAGTAGATGAGAACCGCCTGCTACCGGCTATGTATAATGCAAATTCCAATGGGCTGAACATACATGTATAGTAGATGGTTTCCGAGACACCATATACCAGACATATCAATTTGTGACGTGAATGGAATACATGAGTTATTAGTATCGTACAAGATGATTTAGTAATATCCAAGGTATGCTCATACACAGTTCATTATCTGCCGGGACATAATATGCAGTTGCAGAATTTATGCAAATGTAATATGTATGTATATTGTAAGTATATTATTACATAATATTGTTACAAAAATTTACATTTCACATGCTGCTTCTTCGTTAATTTGTTTGTGCAATAGCTTAATTTGATACGCTTGGTGTCAGTCTGGTCATCAGCTTGAAATCGAAACGTTATAAGTTTACATTTGGGGGAACTATGATTTGGTGCCAACCGAATTGAAGAAATATGATGCTCATTCAGAAAATAAATGTACTTGTGCAACTACTGTGATTTAGTGACTTACTGCAAGAAAAAGTTGTACTCTGTATGTGATGTGGAAAAGGTTATGTCATATAAATATATATAGTCAACGCCAAACAAAGTGGCGTGCACGTCATCAAGGTGGGTGTGTTGAAAAATTTACATTGTTGCCAAACTTTTTGTAAAATAATAAAATTTATTATTTACATATCTAGGTTTATAAGCAATATTAACCTCAAATGAGAACAAAAATAATAGTATAATAAAATTATAGATCTGTACTTGCATAATCATTAAGTATGACAATTATTGATCAGATGACACTATGAAACTACCATATTTAATTGATAGCTTAAAGGTACTGAATAAAAATCCAAATGGGGTCCTCCAAATTTTATGCATGGTATTTATTTTACAGAATTCATACATACATACAAAACGATTAGGTAAGCTACTGGTGTAAGCTTTTTCTGTACAATAAAGTTAGTCGGAGTTTCTTTCTTCAGCGCTGTCTGAATCTGAATCTTCATCACTCTCAAAGTTGATTATTAAAGGTTCGATGTCTGGTCGATCAAAAATTCGTTCTCTTTCATACCATTTAAAAATTTCTTGCTCAGTATGTCGAACACTATTTTTCCACATGTCTGGGGTAACCGTTTGTAGAGCCTCGTTCCACATATCCAAACAGTCTTTTTCACTGTTACCATCTCTACCAATATGTCTGTTATAGTAACCTTTTGCTATGCCCCAAATTAACTCAATAGGGTTAAATATACAATGGTAAGGAGGCAGACGAAGAACTTTGTGCCCATGTTGTTCCGCCAATTCATCAATCACGTATATTTTAGGTGGTTTGTTTCTAAAAAAGCAGTTATTTTAAGAATAGGAATAAACAAAAGAAATATAAACTGTCGACCAAAATATATATAATTAAGAAGCATTATATACCGAGCAACAATACCCTCCTCGGTTCCTGGGTATCACTGGTGATACCTCAGTTATTTGCTGCATATTTATCCAAATAGTTTTAAGTCGCGATCAGTTCCGAGCGTATCATATACGATACACTCGCGCGAGTCCAGTTTGCAGGCTGTAACTTGAATTCTGGTTATTTGCTTTGTAAAGCGAGCAAGTGAATGTCGCAGTAGCACGTGCTTTGTGTACCAGAATGGCGTTTAACGAAAACACAAGTAAGTAGATCAATTAAAATTATTATTTTTCCGTTGTAGATGACAAAAATATGTGAGTGAATTATTTATCATGTTCTGAATTTAAAATAAAATGTAAATAACATTTGCAGCGCGTATTTTAGGTTAGGTATCGTAGGTGATACCTTGAGTCTTAATAGTTACAAAATAAGCTAATAACACAAAATAAATTTATTTATTTTGTATTTATTGAATACCATTTTTAGGGCCCCTTACTGCTGCCGAACTGCAGGAATTAGCAGACAATATGGATTTGAATGACTCGGATATAGATGATAACATTGATATCGGCGAATCGGGTGAGGAGCAGGAGGAGTTTTTTCAACAGCCTGACGTAACACCACAGGATGACAATTTCGATACTTCCGATGAAGAACCCTTGATAAACATTGTAAAGAGAATTAGTGATCGTTGTAGGTATAGACATAAAGAAGAATTTTATCCATCAGTAGTGAGAGAGTTTGTTCAAGAAGAAATAAACAGAAGCGTCAAAGAACCAATGCAATATTTTTGCAAATATCTTGACGACGATTTTTTTGAAAATATTGCACATTTCAGCAATATTAGAGAAGTGAAAACTACCGGAAAATCTTTAGGAACTTCTTCTGCAGAGATCAAAAGGTTTTTTGGATGTTCTATGCTGATGGGCATCTACAATCTACCACGCATTAAAATGTACTGGGGTGTACAAACTAGAGTACCCATAATTTCTGAAAAAATGTCTCGGAATAGGTTCTTCGTTCTGAGATCGCGCCTGAAGCTTGTTGATGATGACATGGTCAGTAAAGAAGCAAGGGATCTAGATAGGTTTTGGAAGGTAAAGCCTATGCTAGAGAAAATTCAACGAGGTTGTCGTTCAAATATCAGAACAGAAAATGTGTCAATAGACGAACAGATGATACCTTTTCATGGACAAGTTAAAATGAGACAATTCGTAAGAGGTAAGCCAAATCCGGTAGGCCTCAAAGCTTTTGTTATGACAACACCACAGGGAATACCTTTAGATATTTTAATGTACGAAGGGAAGGGTACTTCAGTAGATTCCATACTTGTAGACACGCCAGAAAAGCTTAACGTCGGAGGGAGATATGTTTTAAAACTGGCCGATACACTACCAAAGGGAGTTTCAGTTTTTACGGATAGGTTTTTTACATCTATACCTTTGGTAGATTGTATGTTATCAAGATCCTTGACTGTTACTGGTACTCTAATGTCTAATAGAGTTCCTAAAGAGGCGAAATTCGAATCGGACAGCATTCTAAAGAAACGAGGCAGGGGCTCATCGGATCAATTAGTAAGACAAGACGAGAAGATGGTCCTAGTAAAATGGTTTGACTCTAGGCCAGTGCAAATGGCGTCATCTAAGTGTGGTTCTGAGCCTCTAGGAGAATGCAAAAGGTGGTCAAAATCTGACAATAAATACATACAGATTCCACAGCCAAACGTTATTAAGGAATATAACGCATTCATGGGTGGAGTTGACTTACTTGATCGGGTCATCGGAAAATATTGTATGAGGTCAAGGACAAAAAAATGGACAATACGTTTCATTTATCATTTTTTTGATTTTGCTGCTGCTGCTTCTTGGTTGGAATATCGTGAAGATGCCTCTTTAGCACGTCTTGAGAAAAAACAGATCATGGATTACATGGATTTTAAATTTGCTATTGCACAAGCACTTCTTTACAATTTGGAAGATAAAGAAAATGAAACATCAGAAGATGAAGAAGCTGTTGAAATTAAAAAGCCTAGGCTAGTTGAAGCACTACCTGCAAGAGGATTTAGACGAGAAAGCGCATTACATTTGCCTGAATTTATGAATGATAAGCAAAAAAGCAGGTCAAAATGTCGTTTAGCAGGATGCAAGATGTTAACTTTTACCAGGTGTACCGCTTGTAATGTTTTTCTATGCTGCAGTGTAAATAGAAATTGTTTTTTACTATTTCATAAGTAAATTTGCAGTTCTATGATATAAATTTGCTTTGTAACATTGAATTAATAAATTTACTTTTTTAACTTATCATTTCTTTAATATATTTTTTGTGTAGATGGAGATCCAAGGTATCATAGATGATACCTGGCATAAAACCAAAAATCTATTTTTGTTTCAAAAAATTTGCTTCGTTTGTGCCTTACTAGGTCCATTAGAACCCAAAATCACTATTTTTGCTAATAAGTCCCAGTTATCTGGCTCTTGGGTCCGAGGAGGATACTCAATAGCTCTGTTTTAAACATTGTGTTTAAAAATGGTATGTTTTGATTTGTCAACCAGTCTTGGATATTCTTTTTTGTCCATGCATTGTTGGGCACTTTGTTCAATATCATGCTGTGATAAGGGGCGTTATCCAGTATAATCATAGATGGACTCTCCAATTTTTCTAATAACTGATGTTGAAACCATTTCAAAAAATTGTCCTGGTTCATCTCTCCATGGTAATCGCTCAATTTTGTTTTCGAAGAAAATATCGCTTCACTACCCTCAATAAACCCATTTTCATTTCCAGCATGTAATATAATGTATCTAAAATATATTAGTTTTAAATTTTATAGTGCAAATTGTGTAAAAGTACATACCTTTTACCATCTGTTTTAATAGCTTTCACGCTTTTTTGGTTTCCATTTTGCCAAGAGCGACCTATGGTCCCATTTTGAAATATCCAAGTTTCATCGAGGAAGACAAACTGGTATAAGGCCTCAACCTTGGCTTGATTGTATTGCCTTAGAAATTCCACCCTTTTCAAAGCTATACTTGGTAGTTCCATGAGCCCTCGTCGCGGATTGTCCTTAAGCCACTTAAATCCAAGATCTCTAAGCAACCGCCTTAAAGACGTGGCACTACCATCAAATAATGCCCTATCTCTTAATCGAGACCATAAAGTTTGTATCGTAACTTGTTCTTCTGAAACCATGTGTAATATGACATTATAATTTAGTTAACAAATTAATGCAAATTTCTGATAAGTTATTATAATAAGATCTTACTTTTGTGATACATATTATAGATCACTTCTCGAATGGCACTTGTATCCAATGTCGCTGTGTTGGTTACACGTTTAATATAACTCCGCTTTTTCTTGGGCGATTCTAAATTTGCATCACTTTTCACACCCTCGGAAATACGACTAACTGTCCTTAAACTAATTTTTAAAGCAGCAGCAACACGCTACAAAAAATGAAATAAAATTTCACTATTATTAATATACATTACATATAATTATTAGTAACCTACCTCTTGAACAGCATTTAAAGGCAACAAAGGCCCGTTGTTGTCCCTTTCTTGCTCAAAGTAGTGCATTAACGAGGCCACGAGTTCCTTACACCGACTATTTAACTGTTTGGGCATCTTTATATACCAAAATTGCCTTTATCTACTCGTGAAATGAATAATTTTGTTTTGAAACAAACAGTTGTTGATTTACAGTATGCGGGGCCAAAGGATTTATAAAGATTTGAAATGCCACAAATTGATTCAGTGTCAAAATTAATACAAATGTCAGTTCCCAGTTTAAATAAGTTTCAAGGTGACAATGTGTCAACGCTGCGAAATCGGTTTAGTGCGTTTACATGTCGATAAGTGATTGGAGCGTTTGCAAAACATTTTATTTCGCATAATGCGTCTAAATTTATCAGAAATCAACTTATGTGATATTTTAATAACAATGTTTATATGACTATTAACCATAATAAGAGAGTAATGACCATTTTACAATTTATATATCACATTAATATGAAACTGCAATAGAGCAATTGTTTGTGATAGAAACCTAGGCATTAGGTCGGGGAATTTTTATCGTGATGACGTGCACGCCACTTTGTTTGGCGTTGACTATAGTTGTTGTTTGTTGTCGAACTTATGGAGACCAATGCGTGAACGTCCTGTTGTTTCATCAGAATTGTGTCAGATGTGTTTTTTGTTTCACAGAAGGAACAATATTTCTAAAGAGTGAATAAAGTTACAAGTCACACAAATAAATTTAATTTGTAAAGATAAGCATACGCCACACTCGTTATAAAATTTGCATCGTATTCACGAAGCATGACTTGTACCACCGACTGAAAAATACAACCGTCGATCGGATAGTGACGCAGGTATATCGGCCTGTTGAAAATATTCCTCTATGATTCGAAGTTTTAAGAGGAAATGTACATTGATATTTATGAGGAGTGAATTATTCTATTATTCCAACGTCAAAAAATTGGGATATACCCGCCCAACCCCCTACAGGTCCCAACCCTCAAATATATGCCCTTACAAATTTTTTTCCCGAAATTATCCCTCTTAAACGTCAAAAAAGTAATCTTAAGCGATTTTTTTTCAGTTTTCTCGTTTTCTGCCTCAAGCACCGCCACCTCTTCTTCGTTTATGGTATAGTAGTAATATTGTGTCAACATTTCATCAAAATCCGAAAGGTACTTCTCATGTTATAGGCGGACCAAAGATTAGCGGACAGACAGATATGCAGAAAGACGGACATGTTTGAAATTTTCCGGGATTGCAATACTTCCTCTCCCGTGGAAGACAAACAGCGCCACTAATAAGTAAGAAATCTCTTAGTCCATTCTTATGGGGAGCTTCCCAGTATTGTCCTTACAATAACGATGTCCTTTATTCGCGTAAAGAAGCACGCATAATTCAGATCTAATTGAAAAGAGGGTGCCTCTCCACGTCACGATTACAAAGAGGGTACGCTGAGATATCATCAAAGGCTGCCTTTGGAAGATTGCCCTGCCACACCACTACCCGAAGCGTAAATTCCAGCGACCATGCCAACCCCAGCGGGAACGGATCATTACTTACCACTGTCTAATTTCCATTCAAAAGACGATAAGTTAGGAGCAGGCGTTCGACCGGTGCGAGGTGTAACGTCTAAATAGAACACTAAATTGTGGTGTTGGTGGTGGTCAAACACCATTTAAGACAGCGTTGCATCAGGTGGAGTATAGAGGCTCTGCCAATACAATAGTGTTAGCATGCACCCGGCATTCATGCGGCTAATTGGCTACACCCAGTATGTGAAATTATATCATGGTATCAGTATCTCTGTATAGTACGCACAAGGTGTTCGAGAACGGAATTCGGCGAAATTCTATTATTTGATATGATGGCATCTTTGCTCATACCTGAAGGGAAATTCTTGAGCGCAGTAAATTGTTCCCCGGGATATGATCCCAAGTTCTGACAGGTGTTGTTTATTAAATAGAATTTTAAATGTATTAAATATAACCCGTTTTCGGCAAGATATGTTGCTAGGTTATTGTTTAACATTTCATCGTAAAGTTAGCTTCGTCATTAGAGGTGAGACTGATGGACGATGACAAGACTTCCACATTTATTCTCCAGAGAATGACTGGGAGAGCGACTTTTCTACTAGTACTCAGGATTACAAGTTTTCATCAGGTACGAGAACCATATCCGCTCTCTATCAATTAGGTCTCATTTCCTGAAATATATATCAACTGACTGTTTTAGATGTACAGCATTTTTTGTTGAAGTCTAACTGTTAGCTTTTATCTGCTATTTGATTTAGGAAGTTCTTTCGTCATTAAAGGTACTGTGTGAAGCACCAGCGGAGCTTTTTTTATTTAGATATTTAGATAATTATATTCCAGAAGACCGTATACAGATATTGGGAAGGTTAGACCGTCTCAGGGATCATTCGAATTATTAAAAAAATTACAGCAAAAAAAAACATAAGGACCAACATTTGATTAAACGGAATAAAATAGTTACAATGAAAACACATTAAAAAATATATCGTAACATCGTATTAAGTCGTAATCTACTAACAGCTTTTTAATTTTACTCTCGGTTACATTTCGTAAAGTAGAATCTAGTTTATCGTATGCTTTAAAGTAGAGCTATGCGTTTGTGAATTTAAATGATTATCATAATTAATGTTGTATTGGTGGGAGTCAGCATTATTAATATTGAGTTTAGTAATGTTTTCACATAGATACAAAAATACAGGGTAGTGTCAACAATTCATTATCCTTGAAACACACATATGCTTGACGCTCGCAACGATGGACCAAAAATATTTCTTCGAAAATTTGAAAACAGAACTACATATGTGAGGTAATATGGAATGTACAGTTCAAATGTCCCGCCGCAGCTTTCAAAATTGACGATTTCAACGACTGTGTTACATAGATCCGGATGAGTTTAAGACATAGCCTAGATCATGATTTATTTGGTGAACTTTAGCTTATTGGCATACAGCTGCGACTTCAACATAGCATACATTCATATCAAAATGGTCGATGTCAACAGCGTGTGATACCGATCAATAATAATAGTCTTTTTTAGTGAACGATATGGACGTGGACAAAAAAGCAAATGCTATAACGGGGATTATGAACGAACACATGGATTACCACCTACCAGGTTATTTCTTGCAGATAACGTAGATTAACTAGACCGTGCGATAACCTTATTAGACTTGTTCCACTGCCCTTAAGGTCAATATAGCCCAGATAATCACTCAAATCCACCAGGCAGCATTTTTGAGAGCTGGACTTTTCAGATCAACATTTGGAAGTTCATATTCCACGTAAAATACCATACGTGGGCTTTTGAAATATAAATATTGAATATATCTTTTGTTACAAAACTAACGCATCTTTATCTCTCTATATCTTTATCTTGCCCTTTAGATTATATGTTGACTCGGTTTCCGGATAGCTTGAAGCTATCAACCGTCATTCCTGTTTATACAAAGGGAGTCCGAGAGTTTTCTCGATAATTATAGAGCAATAACGCCAGTTTCTTGATTTTCCAAATTATTTGTCCGTCACAGACTAAACAACTTCATGGAACACTCAATTTTGCCACCAAACCAATACGGGCTTAGGCCTGGACTATACAGCCGCCTTCACACTTTTAAGCTATATCTATGAGTCTGAAGATACTGAGCGATATACCCTGGTTTTCTTTTTTGACATAAATCGAATCTTTGTATTGATCATGACCCTCTCACTGAAAAGCTCAGGGGATTCAGGTCACTAGTCAATGCATGGATAAAAACTTTTGTATCGAACAGAAAAATAAAAGTGAGTGAGTCACATCAGATACATTTGCAATAAATTTGGGGTCCCTCAGGGATATAGATTGTTGCCCCTTTAGTTACTGCTATTTATAAATTATATTAGTGGGAGCTTGGTTAGTGAGGACTTCAGAGAAGTACAATACGCAGATGACACAACTATTATTTCACTAAAGTTTTCAGAATGCATTGC